ACAGGCTGAAACTTGAACAACGTCACAGAAAGATCCTGGAATAGAAAGTCAAACCTCAGCAGGTAGGAAGAAATACTTGATACAGGAACAAAGTAAACTGACATCCAAGGTTTATAAAAAACTGTTCAGATAAAAAAAAAACAACTAAAAACCTTTTCCCCACTTGTTTTGACAGAAACGTTTAAAAATAAAGCAATTGAGTTGGAAATGATAATTGCCAATATTTCTTGCTGGTTGGGGATTCTGAGTGATTGGACTTTGAAAGCAAGCATAATATTATTGCTTTGGTTTCTGCTCACAAAATACTTGGGCATCTATCATCAAAATGACTGATTTATCTATTCAGCAAACACATAGTGAGTATCGATTTCATGGCACACATTTTGCCAGGCATCAGGACCAAGTGACAAAGGATTTAAATGCCTGGGAACAGATACTACCAGGAGTGAAAAAAAAATACAACACGCTGTAGTTGTGTTCAGGTAAAAATGGCATAATGCAGTATATGAAATTGAATGCTACGTCTAATGTGTTTGAAGTAGAATTCCTTTTGAACCATATTAGAAATGAAAATAGCTACCATATACACAGCACCTACATTAAACAAAGTAAGAAATTCCCCCAAAATGCAAGCCTTCTGTTAACCCATGGAAAAGTCATGTATGGTAGACATATGTGTGTAAACCTCCACCTATTAAGCCTTCTGCCATTTTAGGGGACCAGCATCACAGCTGAAGCACACACAGCCCCAAACATGAGAAAGCAAATGGTACCCCACCAAATAGCATCAGAGAACATAAGGTTTCTTTCTGAGCAGAGTGCCAGGCACACAACCAATCATTGACAAACAAAAATCCCCATAACTGGGAGACATGACCCTCTGTTCAATAAGGGATCCTACGGACTTCAGCTGCCTCCTGCCAAACTGAAGTCTACATCTTCCCGAGGGGACAGGTAATGAAATGCCAGCAAAGTTAGCAGAATAGAAAGACATTTTAGGTCATTGCCATATCATGACACGTTATTTGGTAGGATCACAGAAAGTCAAAGCATTTAGCAATTTCAGAAATAGCTGCTTATTTTTCTATTGAAATTAAGAAAATGAATGGGGAAGTCACTGGGCCTGGAGGTACACACCTTGAATCCTAGCATTTGGGAGACAGAGGCGGGCAGATCTCTATTTGAGACCAGCCAGGTCTACATGGTGAATTTCAGAACAGCCGGCACTATGTAGAGAGACCCTGTCTCAAAATAATAAACAACAACCAAAAGAAGAAGAAAAGAAAAGAAAATTGAGAAGCTAAAAAACAAGGAACTATCTCCTCTCATCATTTTCACAGCAGTGACAATGAAATAAGCCATGAGCCATTAATGCACTGATCTCACAGTTATTGGGGATAAAGCAAAGCAATGGTCCCTGGGCTCTCAGGAAAAGCGTAGGAGTCTTTGCCAACAAGTAATGATCAGATGTTTGTTTTAATCCTGTTTGACCAATATATTCCCATTCAGGAGCCATGGTAACAAACAAATGCTAAGCTGATTTTAAAATTCCCAAGTCAATGTGTTGAGAGTCTGCTGCAGTGAATACAACACTGAAAACCAACCAATCAGAAAAAGCTCAGCATTTGCAAAGTCGGTGTTGAATGGAGCTCTGCCCTCCCTGCCCCCGCCCCCTCCTGCTCCTGCCAACATGATATTTTTACCTAGTTACTTGGGAATGTCTTACAGTGCACCCTGATCACACCTGCTTCCCATTCCTCCCAGGTCCACCTCCCACCCTTGTGCCCCCTCTCCCCAAAGGAAAAAAAAAACAACACCCATTCCAATTAGTGTTGCTCATACACTCATGGGAGCATGGTCAGACTCCCAGTGGCCAGCCCCTTAAAGAAAACTCAAGAATTTCCCCACCCAACCCCCACCAGAAGCCAGTAACTGTGAAGAGCTACACTTGAGCATCTTTATCATAGTTTTTCAGGACTCTCTTTGATAGCTTCATGCCTGGACTGTTTCTTTTGGGGAAGGGGGTAGAGGTTGGCACAGAAGCCTTCAATGGCGCCCATTCTTAGTTATAAGCATGCTTCTAAGGCTAAAGTTAACCCTTCATGTCATCAAAACTAGACATGCATCCCAGACTGTAGGAGCTTTCTTATATAACCCAAAACTTCTCAAGCCCTTTCTACACACTCCTTTTGTACCCTTAGGCTTCCTCTAGCATCCTGAAACAGGCAATTTGGCTCTGTGTTCAGCCAGAATGTGTGGACCGATTGTTTCAACAGTACAGATCCACATGAGAGGTGAAATAGAACTTTAATTTCATTCACTTTGTGCAGATTCATTACTTTAACTATTTTACTTGGGACACATTCTTTCTGAAAGATACATGCAAGCCCTGCACGATATCTCTCTGCAATTTGTGAGCTCATCTTTATTGATACATTATGCACTTAATATTTCTCACATTCAGCTTTTTATGGGAAGCCTCCAACTGGCCTTTCTCTTCCCTTTGGTGTTGTTGATGATGTGAACATCTATCCAGTTCCCCCATAGACCAAGCCTTTCCTCTTCTTTCTCCCTTCTCTTTCCTGGCTTACAAATACTCTCTGTAGAATATTCTGCCTTCTCTTTGCACTTATGGTTCTATCCTTAGATTCTAACCCCTTTTGTCAGGATGGTGGAAGCCTTCAATTCTAACCAGATATGTTCAATCTCTAGTGCATTCCCCCATGAGCCCACTGGGGAGATAAAAAGTAGAACTGAGGTCTGGTGTGGTATGTTTGCTTGAGACCAGACATGCCTACTTGACTACCACAAGTCGGTTGCTCCCTGGGCATTACAACCCATTCATCAGTGAAGGATAGAATCTAGTTAGTCCTTTGTGTCCACTCTTTGAGGTTTTCCATCTCTGTTGGGAATAGCTGAAAGCCAAACATGGAGTGTTTTTCCACTGAGTTCTACTGACCAGAACGAAGGGTCATATACAACAAGATTTGGGTAAATGTTAGTTTTAAAATATTCCATTTGTATGTCGTTTGATATCTACACACAGACTTCAACACAGTCATAGATTTATGGAATTTGCTCACTGAAAATTCTTCCTGCTATGAATACCCTGGACCATGAGCCCTCAGCACTGAAAGCCTGTGCATTTCTGTGAGCAGATGTATGTCTCTGGTTTCATTTTCCTCTTTGCTGGGTTGGCACTAGGCTATTCTTACAAGAGAATGCCTAGGCGTTCCGCATTCCACAATGGAGGTTTGCACATGTTTCTGGGGGAATGTGTCTTGGACTTGGCTGTTTTCACTGACAGTTTAAAGGAATGACTCCTTCAATGGCAGCAGAGCTGCATGATCGCTTTGTGTACCTTGGCAGTGGTCAGCAATGCTTTGGCAGCTGGTTTCTGACCTCCTAGTTTGGGAAGTAGAAATTTAAAGAAGCATTTATTGGGCCCTGATTTTATGTCGGTTATCATGTTCAAAGATATAACTATAATGACAAAGCATACATCCCTCCTTCAGAAAGTTGTATCTATGGAAGTGTGTTCCTTGGTTGAGCCTGATATAAGTGAGGACACTAAAGGTATAAAGGAGAAGTGGTGGGCACACAGGCATGCAGAATGCACTCCTTCACCTCAGGATACTGAGGAAGGCTTTCTGCCTTGAAGCTATGTGTGTACCTCCATATGTGTGTGTCACACAGTCACTTACATATTGCCCAAAGAACATACTCAAAGAATAATTCTGGGGACCTACAACGCTTCTATATATTAGCTACTTTTCTTTTCACTGTGGAAAAAGTACATGACTAAAGCAACTTTTGGGAGATATTGATTTTTGGCACCTGACTTGACAAAGTCTAGTCCATGAGGTTGAGGAAGGGATGCTGGAGCTGATGGATACAGTCAGTAGTCAGCCAGAACTCCTCACATCTGTAAGGACCAAGACACCTGAGCATCCTGTAATCTCTAAGACATGGCTCAACTGTAGCCTTATATCTGCTGGCTAGGCACAATATCCAGAAGGCTCCATTGCCTCCTGAAACCACACTACCAGCTGAAGACCAAATGTTCAAACACATGGGTCTATGGAGAACATTTCAGACTCAAACCACAATGCCCAGCAACTAAGAAACCTTGGGAGTGGTAATAAGAAAAGGATGCTATCAATTTGAGAGGGCAAGGAGGGGATATGGCAAGAGCTGCAGGAAGTAAGAGGAAGGCAGAAGTGAGGCGATTGTATTTTAATTTTTAAAATTGAATTATAAAATATTACAGCGAGTTTCATTTATTTTAAAATTTTCTACATGGGCCTTTCAAATGCACAGATTCACTGTTTGCTTTGTTCTGCCGACCCCGTACCTACAATGTACATTGCTAGCACATTTTTTTAAAAGTTAATTTGTTCTTTAACAGTTTCACATGTCTATGTATATAGTGCATTCTGGTCAAACACATTCCCCCCTCCCGACCTCCTTATTGCCCCACCAACCCCCACTCCCCCCACTAAGTTCAAATCTGATGTTCACATCTTTTTTTTTTTCCTGAGACAGGGTTTCTTTGTGTAGCTTTGCGCCTTTCCTGGAACTCACTTGGTAGACCAGGCTGGCCTCGAACTCACAGAGATCCGCCTGCCTCTGCCTCCCGAGTGCTGGGATTAAAGGCGTGTGCCACCACCACCCGGCCCCACGTTCACATCTTTTTGTCTGTCTTTTCTTTTGTTTTGTGAGCCATTGGGTTTAGCCAGGACCTCCTGCCAGGGCAGAGGTGTAGAACTATGCACTGGAACATTAGTAACTGACCAGTGGCTATCTCGCTAACTTCAATGGTTCTTGAGAGCTGGATTGCCTTTAGCTTCCCTAGGTGGTGTAGGACCTCCTGAGCCTCTCCTCCATCTATGATTGGGTGCCTGTTTATAAGTTCAGAATTCTGCAGACTCTATGCAGGTGGTCACAGCTGCTGTGAGGTCATGAATGGCACAGCTATGTCATGGCTCTTATGACAGTGCCGCACGGATCTCCTCCCCAAGGCTTGGAGGAGTTGATATAGCTATCTCATGTAAGTTTAAGCACCCATAATCACTGTTCTGAACACCTTGACCAGCTACAAGTCTCTACATTAACCACTGTTCACTGCAAACAGAAGTTTCTATGGTCAAGGCTGAGGCTAGCACTAATCTATGGGTATAAACATAAATATTTAGGAGGCAGTTTGACATGCCCATTTGATTAAAAAAAAAGTAGTAGGTTTGCCCCTAGCACCCAGGACCTCTTTTGTTTCTTTGATGAGGTTTTTAGTACCAGGCATTATCTCCCTGTAGAATAAGCCGTATTAAAAATCAACTGGCTATTCCCATAACAATTGTACCACTATTGCATTGGTAGGCTCACCTTGCCTGAGAGCTTGATACTGTAGCATGCCAAATCTAAAACTGGGAAAGACCTATGACTTTTCTCCCCCAGCTTCCTGCCTAGCAACTTCTGGAACAATGAAAACTAGCCATAAGGGAGGAAGCTTCCAGCTCAGTTCCAGTACATTTTTCTCATCGATGTGTCTCTCTTCCAGGTGGGGAAAGGGTGGTGTAATGGAATATGTGCATTCACATAAAGAAATGTCACACTAGTCAACACTTTGAGGCCACAAAGACAGTCCAAGTGGGTAGCATGCACTTAGAATGGGCCAGTAGCAACAAGGAGACCGAGGAAGTCACAGAGCAACATGGATATGCTTGTCACTCTCTTTGGAGGTAGCAGTTCTTTGAAAGGCTTGTTGACAATGCCGTTGTGTTCACTTGACTATCACATGGTCAGCTTTCTGAGTCAGTGGGAGTACTCAGATTTTTTCCTGCTGAACTCTGACTATTAAATACTTGCTCTACATTTTACAGCCTCGGTCTCATGGCAGAGGAGCTGATCCCGGCTTGACGCCAGGCGCCCAGCAAAATGGGGATTAGTGAAACCTGTCTTGGTGCAGCCAAGGGCTCTCCAGCTGCTGCTTGCAATTAGACTTGTCATCATTCTCTCAAGAAGCCCCTGTTGATGTTTAAATCCTAATTGGCAGGAGACACCTGTTTCCCACTGGGAAGGACTCAGTCTCTTGCAACAGTGCAAGGGAGAGGCTGAAGAAATACTCATGATCTCTCTCTCTCTCTCTCTCTCTCTCTCTCTCTCTCTCTCTCTCTTCTTCTACTCCCCTCCCACCTCTCCCTCCTCTTTCTGCCTTTGACCTAAGTGTTTCTGATTTTCTTCTTTCTTTATTCCTTCTCCTCAGTGCAGAGTTTGGCTGCTTTTTGGACACAAGTAAGCACTGGGCTCTGAATCTTTACTGGAGCAAGAACCTTCTACTTGCCCCTCCCTGGGGCCTCCTCTGCATCTTGTAGCAATCCTCTCTTGGCATCGGTACTCATCCCTGGCTAGTTTGCTTGCCAGGGACCTGGATGTCATTCATTCTGGTATTTAGGTATTCACTAATTGCCTGTAAGCTCCTTGGATGTGTGTGGTTTGCTTCTTCCTGCGAAGAGCACTAGGTGTATTTTTAGTTCCTGTCTTCACGGAGCTTGCATTCTCCACACAGGGAGACATCAGAACCGTGGTCAATAACTTGTGTGAAATATCCTGGTCTGAAACAATGTCTGTAGAGAAGAAGAAAACTGGTGAAGGATCCTGCACAGTTAGTTAAAAATTTGATTGTTTTGGCTTTTCTTGACCCTTAAAAACAGTGGTTCTCAACCTTTGTAATGCTATGGCCCTTTAATACAATATCTCATGTTGTGGTGACCCCTCACCCATAAAGTTATTTTCATTGCTATTTCATAACTGTAATTTTGCTACTGTTATGAATTGTAATATAAATATCTGTTATGAAGGGTATCTGATACGTGATGACCCCCATGGGGGTCACGACCCACAGGTTGAGAACAACTGATGTGAAGCTTCAGATGGGCAAGCCAGATTTTGAACTTGCAGCTTGAGTTCTCATCTACAGAGTTCACACATGACAAACAAGCAACTAAGTTACAAGAAGAAGTCTCATAGTATTTAAACTCACATAGTTTATTATTGTGTGTTGACCCACACCCACAGAGATCCTTGGCAAATTACAGTCTTCACTGGGAAATTCAGGAATGTCTGAAGAATTTGCCTGGATTCCTAGGACTATCAGGTGTTCAGAAATTCATCACCGCTATTCATTACACACTTATAACAAAGGCAAGTCTGTAGGGTAGTAAGACTGAAATAGCCCCATATGCCCGGAAGGCTATGAGTCAGCACATACCATGGAACAACAGACCCCCAATTCTCATTTTCAACCAACTAGCATTTCAGATGAGATTCTACTTTTGCCCTCTGGCTCACTCAAGACTTCAGCTTGCTTGCTTGGTGAGAATTTCCTTTTAATGGAAGCTTGCCAGTTGCCAGTAAACTCCCCAGTCAACCTTGTCACACCCTTGTGGGTCTGAGTGAAATCAGGCAGTTGGGCAAGATTTACCCTAGTGTCCATGCCTGCGGAATACCAGTATCTTGCCATTAAACGCATTGCAACAAATCCTGATAACATTCTCTGCCATTGCACTTACTGTTTGTATATTTTATGAGATGTTGTGGTATGTTTCCTGACAGTGGCCATAGCTATAAAGAAATTACAAGACCAGTTCTACCCTCTTGATGAGTCACTATCCCCAGGGGATTAGTTATAGCACCACTTCTCACAGGATACCAGAACTCAAAGACTCTAAGTTCCTCCCATAAATGGTGTGGTATGGTCATATAACTTTCACACACCTGTTTATATACTTTAAAATCACCTCTAGATTCCAGTTAATGCCCATCACAGTACACATGCTGTATCAGTACTTACCACATCAGATTATTTAGTGAATAAGGACAAGAAGAAAGATCTGTCCATGTTGAGTACAAATGGAATTTATTTTCAGTACACTGTTTTCCACGTGCAGTAAGTTGAACCTGTGGACTCCAAAATCTATGGATAAGGAAGAGACAAATAAATCAATGTTAACAGTGGTTGGATATATTCAGTCTTTGCCTTTGCATACTGGCTCTATTTAAAACATTACTCTTAATCTAAACCATTGGCATTGCTTTTGATTTCCAGACTTTTTTCAAAGATGAGCCCTTAACCTCCACGGTTCAGAGAGCTAAGTCATTACCGTATCAGGAGAGAGATGTACTAAAGCCTGCTTGGGACATTTGGAACCAAGCCTGAGCCTTTGTGGCTTCCGTGTGTTTATGAGGTAAGCAAGAGTGCATGGCACAGAGAGCTAAGAGGAGAATTGGTGATTCATTCAGGAAGAAATAGCTCGCACCTGTGAGAGCGCGAGGAGGTGCCACTTGGCATTCTTGGGGTACTGCATCAGCAGGAAAGCAGGCCCTGTCCCCAAGTGAACTAACAGCTTGTGGCTCTTGCATGGCGCTGGGCCTCTCTCTCACTTCGGGTTTGGCTTTTGCTTTGGGAGTGAAAGCAAACTTTCGATTGCCGTGGGAGCCAGAAGTCGGTGTGTGCATAGCAGCATTCAGATTTGGTAGGAGGAAGTCCTGCAGGGGATGCAATCTAATAAGCACGTGGTCGTACAGTATGCCCCAGGGCCAGGCTGCCTTATCTTCAGTAATCCCAATCTATGTCCCAGAATCACGTGATTTGGCCATGGATCAAACTCCTCGTACTTTTGGCTTTGGGGATAATGAAACATGATCTCAAGAGAAGAAAGGATCAGGAGCAGACAGCGGCTCCTGTGGCCCCCAGCAGCGCAACACTAAAGCCAGCATCACATCAGGAGAACATGTTTAACAGATGGGTAGAGAAGATGAATGCTGCATTCCAGCTGTGGAATACTGCCCTGACAGTTTATGATTGCAGACAGGAACAAATTGACGTGATAGATAAAGAAGCCCAGAAAGTGAAGCTTCGGGGACTGTCTGTCACTGGCAGCCTTCCTGGTCTATTATGCATGTCACTCAGAACGCCATTTATCAGGAAAAGCCCTTTAAGGGACAGTAATATGGAAAGAAACAATACTCAGTGCTTAAAGAGGATGCTGAGAACAAGGAGGTTGAAAGGGGCTCATAAAGGTCTTGCTGATGCTCCTCTGAGCAAGCCTGGGATTAGGCCATGATCTCTCACTGACCTAGAGAAGGTCAGGGGAGGCCAGCCTACAGAAATGTTCCAGACAGACCAGGAATGGACCCTGTAGCCTCTGGTGAGAAGAAACTGACTAAAGCCAGCTGGGTATAGCAGTGTCTACCTGTGATCCGAGCACTGGGGAGGTGAATGCAGAAGGGCTCTGAAGTCAAAACTGATCGAGGCTTCAAGGTGAGACCACAGTTGTTTTTTTTTTTTTTAAAAAAAAAAAAAAAAAAGAAAGGAAAACAAAAGAAAGTGGTAGGCTCTAGATTCTCTACTTGGGAGGGAAATCCTCTGCTGTATAGAAAGGCTGGTTCCCTTATTGGGAATCCACACACATGTGCATGCCACATAATAATTTAAGAACATAAAAGGTCTTTCCCAAGTCCTTCCCTTTGGCTGTAAGTAAAACTGATGACATTGCAAGGAAGCTTTTTCAAAGTATAAACTATCCTATGATCAGTATTCATAACAAGGAGATATATATATATATATTAGACAGGAAACCTAGAAGCCAAGTAGTACAGAGCGGCTGGAATTCAGGTTTGATGAAGTCTTATGATTCTCTAGCAGTAAGGAAGTTATCAAAAGCCTCCCAAAGTTTATATGTGATATAGACATTTATATTTAAATTAAACCTTTGATTCTGCCTTTTCAGGGAATTCTTTTCCTTCTTACTATTGAGGAAGAAAGGGAATAATGCAATTCATTTTTCACCAAGTAGCCAGTAACTCAGATGCTTCTTCAGTCGCTAACTGAATTTGCTCAAGGACACGCAAGGTGGATAGATAGACACAGTCGCATGCTGCCCTCTGCTGTTGTTTCTGCATAGTTTTAGAGTCTAGATTTGAGTGGGGCTCTGTCCCAGTGACAAGTGCTCAGTAACTCTCAAATTTCAACCAGTACCGGAATCACGTGGAAAAGCATGAAAGATCAGAACGGTGGGCATCGTCTCCAGGGGTTCTGATTTCCATGGTCTCGGTTGGCACTCCAGAATTCACATTTCTGATAAGTTACTAGGGATGTGCCTGTTGCTGGTGCAGTCACTGATCTACTTGGAAATGCAAAGTGGGCCTTAACTGCTAGTCTGACAAAACAGTCCAGTTTCAGTGGCTTCAGAGGGACTTAACACTGTACTGCTTATTTTAACCGATGCAGGAACCCACATAGGAAGCAGCCTGTTATAACAGCCACACACAAAGAGAATCATCAGAGAGCCCTTCCATCGAGCATGTGGCTGCTCTGCTCTATGGGGGGAACACGGGATGGATTGGATGAGAGAAAACTGTTTATGTAAAGAAATAGCTTGGCTTGGAATGTGAAGGGCCTGCCTGTTTGGAGAACTGCTTTCAAGCTGAATGGACAGTACTAGTTTTTGAAGGCCTGGGCAGAATACCAATTCTCCTGCTTTTCTTTCACATGCCACATGTTAATTCATCTTGGAGACCCATTTACTCTGAAAAGCAGATGGCTAGAAGTGTGAACACTTGGTGGTTATTAGGTCCCATCATTTTTATCATCACTAGTGTTTTCAGTGAAACTGGAGTCATCATTGACTAAACAGCTTGAAGTACAAGAGCTGGGCTTTGGAGATTTGGAAAGGGGGTGTGCTTCAGCTAGAGTGTGTGTGTGTGTGTGTGTGTGTGTGTGTGTGTGTGTGTGTGTGTGTGTGTGTGTGTGTGTGTGTGTTAAAAGTCATGCAGTATTAAACTCACCATGCTAACGGCTTTTAATGTGTAGTTTAGTGGCACTAAGCACATTCACAGTGTCATGCCACATGGTGCTAAAACTTTTTCACCTTACAAAACTGAAATTCTATACAAACTAAATATCACTTCTCCTGTCTCTATACCCTGGCCCTTGAAAGCCAACCTTCTAGGTGATGTTTTTATGATTTGAATAATTTAGCTACTCCATATGAATGAGATAACACAGTATGTAACTTTTTATTCACCTAGTGTAAAGTCCCTGAGGTTCACCCGAGCCTCAGCACTTACCTAAGGTGTTTGGGCTCCAGGGTCCTCACATGTTGTAGCAATGAGATGATTTTCTTCCTTATTAGACTGTATATTATCCCACTGGGTATAAATACATTTTTGTGTGTTTGTATGTTCATGTTTGTGTGTGTGTGTGTGTGTGTGTGTGTGTGTGTGTGTCTACATGTGCATGCATGTTTGCATGTTGCATGAAGGCCAGGAACCTGTGGAGGCCAGAGGTAGACTTTGGGTGCCTTCCTCAATTGCTCTCCACCTTATGTTGTTTATAAAGGGACTCCCACTCAATGTGGAATTCATTGGTTCAGGTGACTGAACAGCAAGTCCTGGGAATCCTCTGTCCCTGCCCCTCCAGCAGTGTCCTTGCCCCTGGGTACAACTGCCTGACGATGTTTAGCTTATGTCCTGGAGATTAGAACTCAGGTCTTCATGCATGCAAAGAATGCCAGCTAGCAACTGAGCCGTATCTCCAGCCACTAACAATACATTTTTCTATTGATAGACACTAGGGTGCTTCCACTGGTTCACTTTTTTTTTAAAGTCACAGTTAACAAGAGTGTGCAAACATCTTGGTACCCTGCCTCAGGCTTGTTTGACTACGTATTCCAAAGTGTGGCTGCTAGATCATCATATGGAAGTTCTACATGCAATCCTTTGAGGGGCCATCCTGCTGCTTCCTATACACAACAGCCATGCTATTTTACAGTCCATGGTGGTGCAATATAAATACTGTAGTTTCTCTGCATCCCCGCACACATGTGTTAGTTTCTGGTATGAACTTACGGTGTTTTGACCTATAATTCTCTAATAGGATGTTAAGCAACTTTTCACTTAAACCTGTGGCCACTTGTCTTCTTTGAGAAACACCTTTTCAAATTCTTTTTTTTTTTTTGTCTTTTTATTTTTTATTATTTTTATTTTTTTAATTTTATTTTATAATTATTTTAATTTTACATATCAGCTATGGATTCCCCTGTCCTCCCTCGTCCCACCACCACCCCAGCCTTCCCCCCATTCCCCCCCCATTCCCACCTCCTCCAAGGCAAGGTCTCCCCTGGGGAGTCAGCCCAGCCTGGTAGGTTCAGTTGAGGCAGACCCAGTCCCCTGCACCAAGGCTGAGCAAAATGTCTCAGTATAAGCCCTAGGTTCCAAAAAGCCAGCCCATGCACCAAGGACAGATCCTGGTCCCACTGCCTGGGGGCCTCCCAAAAAGTTCAAGCTAATCAACTGTCTTACTTATCCAGAGGGCCTGGTCCAGTTCCATGGGGGCTCCTCAGCTATTGGTTCACAGTTTATGTGAACTAGTTTGGCTATTTGTCCCTGTGCTTTTACCCACATTTAATTGGGTCACCTTTATTATAGATATTATCAAATTCTATCATAGATATTTCTCATACATTCTTGATGACTATCCCTTATCAGGAATGCAATATGCAAATAGTTTTTATGATTATGAAAATATCCTTTTGTATCTACTCATTTCTTTGGATGCACAGTTTTAAGTTTATGAAATCTCATTTTGCTTTTATATGCACACACATATGCACTTTTGTGCATGTATTTGTACACACACAACACACATACATTCACCTGCACATATGTGTGTACATACAACACACACATGTGTGTACACACATATGTGCTCTTGAACATTTGTATGCACACATGCACACACAAATCTCACACACACACACCAAAAGATGACAGATAATATGACTGAATTTTTCATAGATAGCAATTATTACTATCTAGGCTCAAGAAAAAAATAAGGGAATAGCAAGAAAAGGAGGAGAGGAGGACGCCAAAGGCCAGCTACCCAGCTGCACAGCCAGCCATGGAGTAAGAAGGGAAGAAAGATATATAGAATAAAGAAAGGTAAAAAGCCCAGAGACAAAATGTAGTTAAAGAGAAACAGGATAATTTAAGTTAGAAAAGGTGGCTAGAAACAAGCCAAGCTAAGGCCAGGCATTCATAAGTAAAAATAAGTCTCTGTATATATTGGGGAGCTAGATGGCAGGCCTCCAAAGAGTAAAAACAAACAAACAAACAAAAAACTACAAGGAACACATGAGATGAACACAGCTAACAAAGCCCTCTCAAGGAAATGCCACAGTGAAGG